CACAGGAAGTGAAAAATAAGCTGGCTTTAAAATTTCCAGATAATACTGATAAGGTTCAGTTAGACTACTTGTCACCATGATATCAGAGCATCACTGCACAGATTTAACATCAAATTCCTGATATTCTAAATTACAGCCTTCCTGTTTCTATAGCCAGCTTCCTTGCCAGGTAGAGCAAATGCCTGATAAAGACTTCTATTTCTAGTTTATACAGTATGAAAAGGCATAACACACAAAACCATATCCTAAAGTAACTGATTAGTTTTTAGGCTTGCACCAAAATGTCTACTGAAGTCACATAAACAGGGACATTTCCAAGATTTATTACCCACTTTTCATCCAGGTTCACAAAGCAGACTTCCTTGTATTTTCTATGTCAGCATTTTGCTGCAGATAAATATGGTCTAAATCTTTTGGTCTGCTGGAATAACTTTTTAACACTGAGCAGTAAAGCTTTTAGAGGGAAAACAGCTGTATCACAGATAACTTGAATGATTTTGGAAGTCTGCAATTTTCCCCTTTTAACTGGAACCTGCTGAACCACATCCAGGATCTAGTGATGAACTTAGATACTCAGCTGTGAAGTTTTGTATTTTGATTTACAATATAAACTATAAGTTTAAGAGTTAAAATTTACCTTAGCATGAGAGATTACAAAATAATTTTCTTCTCCAGTTACTGCATTTACAAAAGATGTTAGAAAGTATCAGTAAGAGCCAGCTAATTACCTACAGTGAAGGTACACCACTAAAACTGTCAGTGAATCAGCACAGCTCCCAGTGTCTCACAAACAGGCTCAATACTCTTGTGTTCTGAAAGAGACTTTTCCCTTTCCTAAAGAACTGTATAATAATAACCTTTGCAAAATGCAGGATGTTTTAAGGGAAAATAAAGCCAGCCTGTGTCTGAACAGATAAGGTAAAAAGCCCCTTGTAAGTGATTGCTTAGGGAAGGTAAAGATGAGCACATACTTCACTGCAAAGATGGATATCCAGGTTAACAGTAGATAATAAGGTAGATTTTCCTGGCTTGTTTTTAGAGAGCTGGGTTCTAATTCCACTCACACCACTGGAATTCTGACAGCCAAGCTATGCTTCAGAAACTGTAACTACAAAAACTGCATGGGATACTGGAAATATGATTGAAGTTGAGAATATGTAAAGCATTACATTAATAAAACATGAAAAAACCCCAAGACTACCCCAAAGGAAATGAAAGGTAGAAATCACTGGTTCCCAATTTTAATAGGGAAAAGCTTTGCTTCCATGTTAACATGATAGTAACACAATTTCTAAAATCAGTCTGAGCAAAGAACCACACGAGTGCATCACTTAAAGTGACTAAAGGGC